GTATTGAACACAATTAACAGTAGTTTGTCTTGAAGTGAATTGAAATAAATACAAAAGATAAAACTTATATAAAAACTAGAAAATTCTTTGAACAAATGTGAATTAATTATATATATACGATTCGATTGTAATTAGTCGGAAAACGTTAGCATTTAATAAAAAAATAGAAATGTTAATAATTAGAGAAAGTTATCGATAGGGGTATAGTAAATACTTTTCAATTGTTTTATCAATAATAATAGACGGCCGTTTGTTGGTTTCCGAGATTATTAATATTTCTTGACAAACAGTCAAATTATCCAGTTGATATTTTTCCAAAATTTTAATTCTTCCTTCTGTGTAAGGTACAACAAACAGTTCAAAAACGGTACCATTAAAAATATAGCCAACGACTGTACCTTTTATGTCATAGTTGGAATTCTCATAACATTTTCAAAACTATAAAGTATATCGAGAAAAACTCAACTCGTGTAACAAAATAAGTATACAAATTTAAACGCGAATATTTTCCTCGGAGAGTACTCTATTTACTCTATTTGATATTAACGGCGGCATGTCATTATTTGGCGTAACATGTTGTTTTATCGGTAGTACTGAAAAGGTCGTTGCATTGAAGAAGCAATCGTTTTGCAATGTCTTTGGAATCTAAATAGTTGCGATAGGCTTGTTGAGCCGAACAACGCACGTGGACGTTATTTGGGATCAGCAATTACAGAAACGACCGTAAAAGTTGGAAAGGTGGCCGCCGCCGACATACGCACTACTCGCGGCCGTAAAGCAGTCGTTTGGCCTTCGCACGTTCGTTTTTATATAGCTGATGTACACACTGGTGACGTGCGCCGAATACCTCTACACGCAAAAGTCCAAAAATAACGGAAATCAATAGCATCCGATTGGCGACAAGTAGGTTTTAGAACGACCGGCAGCTCAACGGAATGGCATAGATTTCGAAAAAAAACCTATCTGAAATAGACGGGCAGCGTTTAAAATTGGACTCCATTAAAACAGAATCCAACACGGCGGCGATCCTTTGTGACAACAGACACGAATGCAACTCATCTGCTGAACGGCACATATTTATGAAAATCATCGATGCATTACATGCGAGTGAGAGATTTTATGTTCAACAGAAATTTAAGTACGTGCTTTATTACTTACTACAATATTTTATGCATATATGCGCGTGTGTACAGCGCATATAACACAATTTTCAGTTCCTAATACCTAATTCATACGTTATGTCTGTTGAATTATGTATAATTGTCGTAATTAAACCGTTCAATATTCATTAGTTACGTGTATATACTTTCGAATACGCTTTGAAAAATGTATATATATATATATATATATATATATATATTAGGAGAATACTAACAGAAAATTATACTAAGACGGTCAACAAACCCTACGACATCTTGGATATTAATAAATAATAATTATTATTTGTTAAAATGATTATTCATTTTATATTTGACCAATTACTAATAAAATAATAACACTAAATCAATTATTAGCGATAATAATGAAAAAATGAACTGATGCAGATGTTGGCATCAACATTTAAGTTCCATCGTTAACAAGTTTAATTTGTGTGTTAATAACGGCAAATAAAACATAGTAATAAATAAATATTATTTTTTTAATAAATTGCACGAATACACAACTGACGGATACTTAATAAATATATTAAATTTGTCAAAGTTTCACGCATCGTATATTATTGTTACATATTAAAATATGTAAGGCAAAAGGACGAAATTTTTTTAGTAAATTATATAACAAAAATTGACACTAATTAAAAAGTGATTTATTATGAATTTTATAACATAACACTACAAGATTTACTGCGAAAATCTTAATACTGAGTACTATTGAATAATTTTAACTCGGAGGAAAATGTCTGTGAATTATTTGGATCTCGATAAAAATAAGCCAAGATAATATAATTTTAAAGCCTCATAAAAAAACAAATTTTTCAAACAACGTAACTGTACAAATTCTGTAATTATAACGCATATTATCCTCAAAGGGCGTTGAGATAATAAACCGGAACTGAAAAGAAGGTTTTTATTGTTAGTTTTGGACTTTAAACCGGAACCTCGTGAGAGTGTTTTACACTTTTAAAGTTTTGAAAAATAATAATAAAAGTTACTTTTTATTTTTATTGGAGATATCTTATTATCATTCTCCGGGTTCGGAATGCTCACATTGGAACCCTATTCACAATGTGGCCGCAGATAAACGAGCATTTGCGTTAAGTGAAAATAATAAAATGAAATCTTATGGTGAGTTCTGAAAGTGAACCTTATCAAGGTGTGGTGGTCGGCTGGTCAAATATGCCTGTACAAATCCCTGCTCAAGAACGGTAAAAGCATGACAAAGAAGCGTGAACAGCACTTAAGTATAAATTATGCCGGTCAGTGATTAACCGAGGATTTCGATCGGAGTTCAGTACTTTTGCATGTATACCTCATGTACACAAGAAGCGAATGACCTTTTGAATTAAACAAACCTATACAGAGGTCTACCCTTGTATATTAAAATGTTGAATCGCAAAAGTTTCGTTTTAAAAGCAATTGAAACAATATAAAAATCAAATAAATTCCAATAAGACAGGAAAAAGGAAATGATTAAAATAAATAAATAGGTTTGAAATACAAAATAGTTATTAAAACATAAAAGGAATAGAGGTCATAGTTGATACTAAAGGGGTAGACTCATTTTAATTTCGATTAATACTTTCAAAAAGACAAGTGACCCTTGTCGAACGTAAATATGGCACATTGCTATGCCGTTACCTATTTAAACGCCTCAAAAGTGGTCGAATTAAATACTTAGTCCATCAAATTCACTTTGGTAAACCTATTGCAAATGGTAAATTCTACACTAAAAAATGAATAAGATTTTAAAAAAACGATTGTTGCATCTAACGTAAAATAAAATACTTTTTTTCTGTCGAACAACATATAATAGTATAACAACATGATTACATAATGTATTGATCAATAAACTAAAATTTAAGTCGTCTTTGAAATATAAGGTGATGTTCTATAAATATTTAAATATTTTATATATAAACTATATGTAGCTTAGATAATGATTTACATCTTAATTATAATTGGCCAATTAAAACTGACTTGCCTATTGATTTGAATATTAGTTATAAATGTATGTTTTTAAAGAATATAAAAACATAATTATTTTTCAAAAATATAAATAATTTTAAAGACACAAATTTTTAGCTAAATTAGTTATATTAATTCTGNTAAATAATTTTAAAGACACAAATTTTAAGCTAAATTAGTTATATTAATTCTATTAGTTATTAAACATTAACCATTGGCAAAGTATAAATATCAAATAAAAAAATACATTAACGATTGGACCTTGTTTGTTCCGGATATTTTTTAAGTTACTACTTAGCAAATATTACTCAAACGTTTTTTTATATGGTTGTTAATACCATATAAAAAGTTTACGTGCACCTAGAGTATGTTTAATTTTTTAAATTTTAACAAAAAAAATCAATTCAAACTTGTACCTAAAAGACAAAATGGAAATTTTCAAGTTTACAATCGTTTTCGAAGTCAATGATACTATGTTGAAAATCATATTCATAATTTTAATTTTTATCAGTACAGCTATAACTTTAATTAATCAATATCGAGTTGTAACTGAGAATAAAGTACCATCATAATGTATCTATAATCTCAACCGTCACAAGAACAATATGTCAATTTTACTGCAAGTAAAAGGCCCACACTATCAACTCTAAAATCCAAAAACGATTTACGTCGAATACAATTAATGCCAAACATCAGCGTGTCTGAATATTTAAAGACAAAGACTAAGATTGTTCTGTTTAAAAACCACACTCTAAGTTTGGTCACAGTAAGTAAATCTCATTCGCCGAAAGTGAATTGTCGAACATGAATGTATCTGCCGCATCTCATTAAAGGCGTACAGCCACGAACGTCTTAAGCCTTTATATTCAGCACACTGTTGTTTTTGGCGTATGTGTGTGCCAGTGATGATATTTAGGTATTTGACAGACGACGGCGGCGGCGATGGACTAAAACGCTTTATTCCGAACACGTCCGCCGCTTTACGATTATAATGAGTTATTTGTTCCCTATCTGCGCCGTTTGTGTTTTATGTAGTTTTTATTCTTTTTGACGTTCTCTTTTCCAATTTTTTTACTATAGATAACAAAAGAACCAATTTGGATATCTATAGATGCGACCATGGTGGCCAGACGCGTTACACATATTCATGTAAATCGTTACAATAACGACGCACCTACGATTTTTAACCCATAAGAACACCTCAAAAGTGACATAAATTTTATGCTTGTTTTAATATTTGCCGGCAATGCCCTTATAGATATGTCGACTAGAAAAATTTACACGTAACAGCGATTTTTTTTACATATATATTGGTCGTTTATTACATATGCTCATTATATTCACTTTTAATAGACTTTCTAAAGGTAATTTCTTCAAATATTGCATTGATCATATGAGCGTACTTTCAACAAGTCGTATAACGACTCATTTAATTGTCGTTGGTACAATTAATTCAAACAAATTTTAAATTGTGCCTTTGTAGTTTCACAATCTAATCACGCAAGTTAAAATTGTACACGAAACTTCAGTGCGTCGCATTTTGTTCAAGAAGAACTTAACATAATTAATTAATTAAATATGTAAACTGTTGAAAGTTACATGCAATGTTAATGTAAGTGTTGTTTGTCATTTTGCAAGGAATTTTATTACACTGAAATGAATTAAATAGAATACCCAAATTATGCCATCGGATTGTAGTCAACTAAATCAAAAATTATATTAGGTAACTACAGGATAAGTATTTTGCAATGCATGAACAGATCCTGAATTTTTAATAAGACTAGTGATCATTTAATAGATTAGTGTAGCTCAATTACAGTACGTTTAAAGGAAAATAGAATAAAGCAATATTAATCAAAATGATTTATGTTTTACCTGGACTTGTTTGCCAACTGAGACCGCCGATGAACATTTTTCTGTAATAAAAAAAAATACAATTAATAACTATTACATTCAATTTAAAACACGTTAGCTAATTTCACACGGAAAATGTTTAATATATGTTTTTTTTTTTTTTTTGTAAGAGTTAAGTCGATGACTGTTGTGCCAAGTAGACTACTATAAAGTAGCTTGATGATGGTTAGTTATAAATATTGTCAGTGTTTGTTTAAACACATGTCGTAGAATTATAAAGTGATTGTAGAAAACAAAAATAGAAATGATATAAACTTGTTAAATAACAAACAAATAAAAATTATCAATTCAAAAGATTGAATTTTAAATGAAAATAAACAAGAAATATTTTTTGTAAATACGAAATACTATGAGTTTGTTAGGATTTTATTAACTAATTATATTTGAATACAGCATAAAAATTAAATTCAAACTCCAATTGGATTATTTATTTATAATCCTAACATTAAAGAAAATAAAGATTTTACAATTTATTATTTTTGCTGACAGCAATATAAAAAAATCTTACGAAGAATATAAAAGATCTCATTTTATTGCATAAATAACTTTGTAAAAACCTAAGATAAGTTTCTTGAAGATAGAACCTTTGAATAATTTAATTTTTTTTATCTCATTTATGATAAAACTAGAATACATGGCGTAAAAATTTATTTATTTAAAAAAAAAAATCGCAATCCCTTTTAATTAATATATTTTTCTCTCATATAGTTAACATATAAACATTAAAGATAATAAATGAAATATTATACAAAAATACATTTTTATTATCTTTGTATTTGTATTAAACTTAGATATATTAATTTTAATTTTACTTATTTACAATATAAAACTGTAGGTTGCTACCCTAGTATATTTAATAGTTCCATTTGAATATAATACTTATGTATCTTACGACATATCGATGACCTTATAACAAATTAGAAGTTAAACATAAGAAATGACTATTTACTATTAGTCGTCGTTAATGTTCATGTAAGGCTTTTAATCGATTAACAAAAATGACAACGCGGTCATTTTCAATTTTTAAACTATCTAAAATATTTATATCATAAAAAAATGACATCACAATTAACTAATTGAAAGAAAAATACTTTATTGTAAAATTTGTTAAAAATGATTTGCCAAGTTGTTCGAAAGACTAATATAACTATAAAGCAGAAACGCAATTTTTCGATTACTTTTATCAGGTAATGACCTTACACAACTTAATATAATAATTTTGAAACAATTAAGTCGTATAAGCCAATTTATAAATTATATTTTTGGGCGAAATCAATATTATGACAATAAAATGCAGATTATACAGATAATAGTGACTAACTAGTACTTGTAATTGAATTGGTATTGAAGATAATTCGTTATCTTATTACACTTTTTGTTTGTATCATTGACGTAACTATAATAACGAGTGTATCGTATTTTTTAAATAGATATACTAATTCCACGGTGATTAAGTAAAAGATTTTAACACAATAAATTACGCAAATGAAATTTTTAAAACTCAGAATATTCAATTTTAAACTTTTCCTTTGAGTCTTAATGAATTTACATAGCATAAGAAAAATAGTATTACTCGAATCATTTTTTAGTAAAAATATTTATTTTTATATGAAATTATACCTCAGTACGACATTTTTATGCTAAATGAGTTTCTACTAAGACCGATTTTTAGAACTAATTACCATCTAAAAACTTTACGTCTTTCTTCATTGTATAACTATATATTCATTTTTTTCCTATATTTTTTGTCAGGTTAAAATTCATCATTCTTTAAAAATTATTCTGGTCGTCGGATAATTTGTATCTATGTAAGCGTTATGACTATTCCGTAAGAATTTGATAACGGACTGTACATCACTGTATCAATAATAAATTGCAATACACATAACTTTACAAGAATTGTACGACTGTACATTTTTTAGTGTATAACTAAATTATATAATGATCAAATAGAACTTCAATCACACGTTTCCGTCTACTGTCTTTCGCCAGGTGTCGGATATACATAAAAACAGCAATAATAATTATTGGTTTGTACAAACAGTTTTACGGTTTTGTTACAATGGATTGTTAAAAAATTTGAGTGGCGGTCCCGGTGACGCTGGTGAAATAAGTGAAGAACTGCACGACAGGAGTAGAATTTTATTATGTCAAGAGTTTGTTTGCCACAGCACAATCTTTACTATGAAATGGTTTTTGGTGAACACACGTAGAGTGCACCCACCGTCTCTCTTTTATCCTATCCGTTTATCCTTTTCAAAGATAACCAAAAAACACGACGACAAAAAGACAAGAATACTGTAGTCGATAAGACGAGTAAACAAAGTTTTAGGAACATTGTTTAGTTTGCACAAGATTATTGTTTCTGACTGAATAATAGTGGGTATAAATTGAATGACTCCGCTTATCTTTACATTAAAATAACACAATATAACATACGAGTTAGTACGTGGATTTATTGTATAATATTCTCAACTAATTGTCAATAACTCACGAGGTTTACAATTTAATAGAACGCAAAAGAAAGCATTAAAATTTGATACCTAGATGCAATAAGATTTAACTAGGTTTTTTAACTATAGGTCGTCAAATAAAGTCATTTGAGTAGGTTGTGCATGGAAATATAGTTGTTAAGTTTGTTGTTCTAAAAAAGTTCCATTTGGCAAAGTTGATGCTTTGTAACTTTTGAAAAACCAACCATAAAAACATCAAGAAAAAATACTAGCTAATTCAAATTTCTTATTTTTTGAAAATTTAAGAAGTTTTAATACTACTTTTAAGTTAATGCACTCATTAACCAATTTTCAATTCACATTTTAAATAATACTTATGGTAACAGCACCAATAAATAACATTTTAAGAGTTTTTGAAAACCCTTTGTTTATTTTTAGTTAAATGACACACTTATAAAATTATTTACTTGTTCTCTAAAATGTTTTCTGTTAAATTAATTTACAAATATTAATAATTAACAGAAACAGACTTCTAATTAATGACCAAAATCAGAAATATCCAGTGAATATTATTATCAAAAGTTATATTTTTAAAGTTTGACTAAATCTAGATATTTTCTCTGTTAAAAACATATCGACATAAATTTATTAGATTTTTTAATTAAAACTTGGTGTTGTTATTTACCTGTGATGTTACTCTAGCTGTAATTAATAAATAGGTAAATTTTCTTCAAAGTACAAATAATTTGCAGGGGTGTAAAAAAGTTATTATTTTTGAATACAACCATGTCGATTAACCAACTGAATTTTAACGATTGATTTGGACGGTTAAAGATTAAAAAAAAGTTTTTTTTAACCGAAAATTATATTAAAAATGTCTAGCTAGACAGATGACATACCTTAACAGGAACATGCTATCTCCTTTTCTCCTATTTAGAAACACCCCTCACAATTCGCACAGAGCATTATAACTTTAAGTACATATATATATAAATACATAAACCCGTTAAGCTTATACATATATAAATCCAACAAAACTTAACACAACCTCATGCATATATATATATATATAGATATACATATTTTACCTCCCTCGAAAATATTTATGAATACGATATTCATTTTACATGTTCAATTTTAATTTGATTATTATTTGTGGGTGAAAAAATCGAATACTTCAGGTAATGCAATTCCTAAATCTCATAAGTGATGCCATATGTTTGAAGTGTGTCAGTAACGTAGCCAAGGAGTCGCAGGACCATAACTTCCCCACTAGTCGTATTATTGGTCTCTAAACTAAAGTGATGAGAAAAAACATGCATTAATAGTTGTAAAACTAATATGAAATCTTGACAATACCACTGATATGAATCAATCAAGATTGTCAATATTAAGGAATTTAAAGTGAATAAAATATAGTTGTAGTGATAAATAGCTTTTTAATCATCAAGTATTAGAATAACTATGTGATGAATTCTATAATTATTTATTATGTTATTTTCAATTATCAAGTCCACAATTAAGAAAAGGTCTAATAAATTCAATAGTTCTATGAAGTTATTTTAAATAGAATCATAGTGAAACTTAGCTAATTAATTTAAATATAAAAGGTGTTGAAGTATGGCAAAATTTAATGCTAAAACTTTTATCTCAGTCTGCCTGAGTGAGAATACCATTTCCCCTAGTAAAATTTCTAATAGATAAATATTAATATAATTTTAATATGAAAAAAAATTATATTACATATCTTAAAACCATTATATTTAGGAACTTTTACTATTAAAATCTGGATTTATATACATTTTGTTATGCATTTTAAATAGATCATATTTAATAAATTTATATGTTATTTCATACGATAATATTGAGTCTATAATAATTTATGCATAATGTTAAATCTAAATATTACTAAATTAACATTATTGTAAAATTTATGAAAATAAAACAATTGGCATTTTGAATAAAGATTATACATTTTCATAGCATAATTAGTAAAAAAAAACTATAAAATATCCATGAATTAACTAATTCCCTCTCTACAAGTAAGATTAAAATACTTCAAAGCGACGTAATATTTTATAAAATAATGTTATTTATATCACGTTAAATGGTTTTGCAATTTTCCCATTAATTTATGTACATAGTAGGAAAATATTTAATTTTTTTAACTATTGGTTCGAATTTAACACGAAAGCATTCGTTTATGTCGACAAATGTTGTTCTAACTATTTATATTATTACAAGAAATGACAAATTGGGATTCCCAATAATCCAAAGAAAAAAAAACTTTCAAAAACACTCAATGGATGGGACAAATCACAGCTGTTAGGCGCGTGGCAATAACAAAATCTAGAAAGTGCTTAAAATAAATTATTTGTATAATTAAGTTATGACTAAATTAGTTGAAAATTATGAAGAAGCAGATATAATGTTAAAAATAGATAATATAAAGATGAATAAACATAAAATGAATATGAGTGTAAAGTTTTTTAGCACATTATAGACATTTTGCTTAAAATAACAAAGTTATTCATAAAAAAAATTAATCG